GCGAGCCCGCGGCGACACTGATCGAGTGCGAAACGTGCCCCCGCGCGTGGATCCCGGCGGCGGCCGTGGCTGACACGGCCGGGCGCGGCGCGGTGCTGGTCGGGCTTTCCCACGCGGCCAAGTTTGCCCCGTGGGACGACGGGCGGACCAGTGACTGGCGCGAGCTGACGCCGAGCTTGGCGGTGCTCAGTCCCGTCAGCTCGCGGTCGCTGAGCCGTGAGCGTGGCCGTGGGCGATACCGTCGGATGTGACCATGTTCGGGCGCCACCGAACCGCCTATCGGGCCTGCTGTGAGCACGCCCCCGGCTCGCTCCGTGCCGCGTGGGCTGTGGGCCGGTGCAGGTGCCGCCGTTCGTGCCGTGCCCGGTCGGCGCCGGGCCGGACTTGATGGGGCTCCGCTGCGGGCCCCGCCGCCGGCCGGCCACCGAAGTGGGCCGCCTCCCCCGGTGCCGCCGCCGCCGTGTGAGGGTGCCGGCCACCGAACGGCGGCGCCGCTTGCCACGGCTGTGACGGATGGCCGCGCCCGGACGGCCGCGGCCGGGCAAGGTCAGGCTGGGGTGGTGCGGTCTCTGGCCGGGCGCGGGGGGTGCGGTCATTGGGTGCAGGCTGGCGCGCGGCCACCGCCTCCACGGCGTCGTGGCCTGCTGACCTGATAACATAACCGGCCGCGGGGACCCAATGGCCCGGTTTAGCCCAATCCCCCCCCCCCCGTGCGCGCAACCCTGCCACCGACCTGCCGTCGTCCCGGCGCCGCCGTCGACGTCTGGCCGATCCGTCGCGGTCGGCTGACGCGGCCGGCCTGTGGACACAGAGCGGGCCGCTGACTTGCAATCGCACTGACCTCGAACACGCATGTGGAAAGCATGTGGCGTGCTGCCGGCCGGATACCGCCGGCCGAGGAGGGCGGCGGCGCGTCGGCCCAGTGGGCGGCGCGAGGCGGGGTCACCGACCGGGCGCCGGCGCCACCGGGCCCGCTGCTCCGATGCCGTCGCGGCGGACCGCCGTGAGAATGCGGCGGCCGCCGTCGCCCCGTACATTATTTTAGGAATGGGCGGAGGGCGCGAGGGAGTGCTGTTGACGACGGATGTAGTGTGTTTGTCGCCGTTGTCGCGGTAACCACGCGGACGCCGCCGGAGCGGAAGATGCGGAGTGCATGCGGATGTGTGAGCGCTCCGCCGCTTCTGACAGCGTGCACGCCCTTCTGTCCGTTGCAGTCCCAGCCGGGAGTGTGTGTATGCGGTGAAGGGGTCGGCGCTGGTGGTGCCGCGCGGCCGGAGCCCGGCTCCGCCCGGCGGCGCCAACACCGGCTCCGGCTCCGGCTCCGACATCCAGCGGCACCTGCAGGACATGCTCAGTCTGATCCGGCCCGACGACAACCTGCGAATGGTGAGTGAAATCGGCGGCACGCGCTCTCCGGCTCGCTCGGCGATGGCCGGCGCCCGGCGCCCATCTGGCTGCGGGCCGCCGGCATTTACATGGGCGGCCATTTGTCGCGGGAACGGTGGTCGCCGCTGGGAACGGAGCGGTCCGGCCGGCTGGCAGGCGAGGCGGCGTCCGCCAGGTCCCGTCAGGGCCTGTCAGCGCCCCAGCTCTCGTCAGCGCCGTCAGCTCCTGCTAGATCCCGTCGCCTCCACCCCCCCCCCCCCCCCCCACTCTCGTAGCGCTCGCCAGATCCTACCAGCGTTTGTTGGCTCCGCCAGATCCCGTCAGCGCCCGTCTGCTCCCACCAGCTCCCGTTAGCTCCGCCAGCTCCCGTTAGCTCGCGTCAGCATCTGCCAGCTCCCGCCAGCGCCCGCCAGCTTCCCGTCAGCCTCCCGTCACCGCCCCCAGCTCCCGTCAGTATCCGTCAGCTCATGTCAGCTCCCGCCAGGGCCCGTCAGCTCCCGTCAGCTCCTGTCAGCTCCCGTTAGCTCCCGTCAGCTCTCGCCAGGACCTGTCAGCTCCCGCCATCTCCTGTCAGCTGTCGGTATTGGTCCCGAGCGCGCGACTATGGCGGGCCGTCGGGTCGAGCGGACCTGTGTGGCGCGGTGTGGTGACGGGTAACCGGGAAAGGTTGCATAGCAAAAGATCGCCGGATAAAAGTACGTAAGGGATAAATGCCGCATGGATACGGATCCGCATGGATAACGGTGCTATGCGAAAAGTCAGGGTACAGATTGTCTCCCCGAAATCGTTTGAAAATGAATTGGTAGTGACATATCTCATCAGGGATCATACGGAATAAAGTCAGGCAGCATGCATGACCACGGAGCGTAGGAGGGCATAACTATGCATGACCATGGAGCGTGGGAGGGCATAACTATGCATGACCATGTATGGCAGGTGTAAAGATCACGGCTGTACGCGATTAAGTTCACGGCGTACACTGACCATGCATGGCAGGTGACTCCGTCCCTTAAATGGGCGCTCGTAGGTGGACACGACGACTTGTGGCTATAGCTAGACCGACAGGCGGCGGGGCCCGCATTCTTTAGTTCCCACCCTGTGGTGGGAACATGAATGGACGGGTGCCGGGCGCCGCCTGAAGATAGAGCGGAAGCCAGACATTTGACTCTGCTGGATAGTCGGCGTTTTCTCCTCGGAGACATCCTGCCAGTGGCAGAGCCTTCTAGAAATTCTGGGGACGAGCACAGACTTGCAAAGATCGGTGTTCTGGACACAAGGCTGGGAGGCGCCATATAGTAGGCTTAGCGATGTGCATGGGTCCAGGATTTGCCGGATGGTCGCCACAAATCCGGCCAGATGGCGGCCTTCGTCTTCTGGTCCGTGGTCCTGTGTTCCATCACACCGTGAGGTGTCGTGTGGAAGCGTGTTTAGAATTGGCAATGGTCAATTCTGACCCGCTTAGCAGTGCACTCTGACCCGCTCAGCAGTGCATATGGCTTTTCTGGTAACGTTCGGGTGGATGCCTCAAGACTTTGTATGCGCTTTTCTAGTACGGTCGATCAAGATACTGGAAAATGGCTTCTACGGACAAAGAACTCGTGCTCTGTGGGCTAATGGTCCTCTGTCGCCAGCATATGTGTGGACGTGTGCGCAATAATTTGCATGCATAAGCGTTGCGGAGCTGCATTGTGCTGAGTCGATCGACGACCGATAGCTTCGAATAGCCCGCTATGCTATGCGAGAGCAGGCCCGTATCGCATGTGCAAAAACCCAGCGCGGGCTGGGTGCTTGTGGGCCCGGTCTCGATCCGCCACAATCAGGTCATCGCTTTCCACGGCTCTGTGCCGATTTGTTGCTGATTGTTTCCGTCTCAGATACCGGTTTCTCCGACCGCTAACGGCTGCGTGGAGGCCAGATCGATGCTTGTTGGCTTGTTGTGTATCTTCGCTGCGTCCGCCGGTCTCCTTCCGGGCTTGTCATGGGTAGCGTAGCGTCCTGGAGCCCCGCTCACGTGGCCGCAGAGGGTCGGCCGGCGGCTTCCTGAGAAAAGCCCCGCCGTGCGTTTCCTGTGAGGTGTCCCGGAGGCGGGCGGGGGGGGGGGGGGGAGGGGGCGCCGTTATCCTGCCTCCCGGAGCCCGTGTCCGGGACTCTGGTCGGCGTCGAGCGGGGCGCCCGGCGGCCGACTTCGCCCCCAGAGCTTGTGCACGCCGACTGTGCACTTTGCACCGGCTAGGCACCGCATGCGCAGGCCTGACGTACAAGCCTTCCGCCTCAGCAGAAGTTTCCCACATACGCATGGCATTCGCCGCTTGTGTTTTGAAGGCGATGGGTTGGACAAAGGGGTCCGACCAAGCGTCAGTTGAACGATCCCAACACGGAGGCGCAGAGCCGGCGGCGGGCGTGGGGTTGCGACGGCCGCACTCGTGTTCCGTCAGCTGGCGCGGCGGCCGGCGCCGGGCGCCGATAATGCGACCGTCCGGCCCGCGCGGATGGCCGGACCATGTATGGCGACGGTCGACGCTATCGAACGCGTGCTCTGCGGACGGGCCGGTCGGCCGTGTCGGCGGTACCGGGCAGCGTCAGAGGCGGGCGCCGGCCTTGGTGAGCCGCTCAGGCGGGTTGGCGGCCAGCCGGGCGGCCGGGTCCCCGGCATGGTTGACTGGCTTTCGTGGGTTTGGCGAACCTGCAAGGTCAGAGGAGGAGTTTCCTCCATCTCGAGGCAGTTCGCCTTCTCCGCTTTCTTATGAAGCATCGTGTCCGGTCCTGGCAGGAACTAGATTCTTTGCAAACTGCAAGAAATCCTCAAACCTTGACACGTGCGCACAATAGATCTCAAGACGCTACACAAGATGACGTCGATGCATCCATCGCTGTGCCTAATTTCGCGTGACGGTACGTCTGGCCGGCGGCGGGCGCAGCGGTGGCGGAGCCAGCCGCCTGGCCCGCCGCGGCGCTGGTGTGGGAGCCGACTGGCCGCTGCCCGGCTGCAGCGCGGGCACCAGGCGCGCCGGCGGCCTACTTCCGCGGCGGCCGCGGCGGTGCGGCGGCGGTGACGGGCGCGGTTGCCGCGCGGCCTCCACAGCCGCCGCCGTCGCCCGGCGCTGGACGCCGTCACAGCAGGCGCTGGCCGGTCCGGGGTCTGCTGCTGGTCGGAGCGTGGCGGCCGGGCGGGCGGCGCGGCCCGTGAGGGCGGCCCAGCCCCGGCAGCCGCCGAGTGCCTCGCGGCTGATCTGAGATCTGTCCCCGGAGTGTCGGACGCTGCCGGTCGGGTCGCGGAGCCGAGCGGGCGGACCGCGCCGGCCGGCCCCCCGAGCGCCGCCGTGAGGGCGGCCCAGCCCCGGCAGCCGCCGAGCGCCTCACGGCTGATCTGAGACCTTCCCTGGAGTGTCGGACGCTACCGGTCGGGTCGCGGAACCGAGCGGCCGGACCGCGCCGGCCTGCCCCCGAGCGCCGCGGCCAGTGGGCTGCGGTGGACCTGCCGCTCTGCGTCTCAGTGGCTGGGCAGGCGGCGCCCGCAGACGCCGATGGCACCGTCCAGCGAGTGTCAGAGATGGATGGGGCGCTGCCGGTTCGGAGGGACGCCGCCGCTCGCTCGGCCGGCCGCCGCCAGCCTGTCGGAGGCGCTGCTCCGGCGTCGTGCGCGGCTCGCCCGCAGTGTCCGGTCCACAGCGGCTGCAGTGGCTCCGGGTCCTTGGGAGCGCCCCGAGCCAGCATGCCGTCACGTCCGCGCAGGACGGGTGATGGGACGCCACCACCGGCCCATGCGCCGCGGTGCATCAAGACGCCGTCGTTACGACTGGCTCACTCTCCCGGCGAACGGCGCAGTAGAGCCGGCTACAATTCCGGGGAAGCCAGCTGCGCACCGGTTCGCTTCGATGGATTTGGGCGAGATTACGCGGCTCGTTATCGCATATATGGAGGGGATCTCGCGGATCGGGCGCCCGGGCCGCATCTTTCGGACCATTGCTCAGCGATTGGAGGCCGTTGTGTCGCAGCAATTCTGCGTTTCACGCGCGCTCTTTTGTTAGTGGCGTGTTTTTATCTATTTTGTTTGACATGGAATTTGCTCGTCATGCTGCCTTCAGTGTATCATTTAATGTATTTCGAGAAAATAGGGAAACCAGCTTGAATGTGGGTTTTAGCCATGTGGGCACCGGTACAGATGTTTCTCTGTGATATTCCACGTTGATGTTACGATGAGGCATTGACATAATTTCTTCCTTCCACTTGTTATGCATTTATTTATACTGTCTCTGTTTGACTGTGCATATGTGTGACCTGAGGTCTTAGTCGGGCATAAGCCAATAAGACTGATATTGGGATGTAGAGCTTCTTATCCCGCTGTGGCAACATCTTCATCATGTTACTTTCAGCCCCATCCCCGTCCGAATCCCAATTTCAACCCTAACCCCGTCCCAGCCCCAGCCCCAGCCCCAGCCCCAGCCCCAGCCCCAGCCCCAGCCCCAGCCCCAGCCCCAGCCCCAGCCACAGCCACAGCCCCAGCCCCCAGCTCCAGCCCCAGCCCCCAACCCAGCCCCAACCTCAGCCCTAGCCCCAGCCCCATTCCGCGCGACGCGTGCTGCGTGCCACGTCAGGGTGTTCCTTTCACGGGCTGCCGGGCCGCCGGCCGAGCGGCCGTTTTTGCCGGTGCGTGAAAGTGATCGGCCGACCGGCGGCGCGGGCGCGGATGCCTCCTTTCGCCCTGGAGATTGCGGCACGGTGGCCCGGCCGGCGCCGACGGCGGACGGCCGTGGGGCGAACGCCGCGGGCTGGGGCGGGCTCAGCCAGACGCTGTGGACGGATGGACTGACCGACCGACTTGGCTGGCAGATGGACTGACGGCGGGACCGGGCGCTGGTGCGGACCGACTCGGTCCGGTTTTGTGGAGCGTGTTTGTCAGGCTCCGTTTGTTTGTGTTGCGATCTGCGGTGGCGGGACGATAACACGCTGGTGTTTGCAGGGCACTTCGCCTACTCGGCGCGCTGCGTGCTGCATGGCGTCCCCCCCCCCCCCGCCGCTCTGCGTCGTCTGTTTCAGCGCGGGTGTGCCAGGCCCGGTGTGCCGGCGGCGGCCGCGTGACTGGGCGCCGCGTCGCGTGCCACGCCGCGCCGTTGACGGACCGCCTGTTGTGCGTCGGAGAGCGCACCGGCGCTGACACGCGCCCCGCTCTGCCCGCAGGCGGTGCGACTGGAGAGCGCCCACGTGGGCCGGAGTCGCTACCTGGTGGTTGCGGCGTCGCCAGCGGCCGACGAGTGCTGCCTTCTGGGCATCGACTGCCAGCGCCGCACCACCATCGGCCTGGTGCACCGGCTGCTGGCCGAGACGGAGATCTCGCTCGACGGAGACGGGTACGTCGGAGGCGCTCCGGGGACGCGCAGGGCTGGCGGCAGCGAGAGCGGGCGTGTTCGACCGAGGGGTGGGGACAGGCCTCGCGGGCGGAAGTGGGTTCACGTAGGGGACGTGATGAAGTGAATTGGAGATCACGGCCTTTGGACTGCCAGTGGCAGGTTGGCCCCAATATCACTTACGGTGTGTGTACGTCGGCGAGACGGAGGGGACGCTGTCTGCTGGCAGGCGACGGTGTGCCACCATTCTCTGTCAATCCATTGGGCCCGCTAGCCGCAGGCCACGTGGTCATACACTGGCTGAATCCCAGACTCGAGACAGATGTCCGCAGACGTGGGTGGCGGCGGCGGCACATGACGCGGCTAGAAATTAGGCTAGCTGCCAATGGGGGCCACCCACCCGGGCGTCGCCGGCCGCCCCCACTCCAGAGGGCCGGCCCAGGTCCCCGGCAATGGCACCCCACAGCGCGCGGCGCCCAGCCGGAGCGGGCCGCCCGTCGCACCCTAGCATTAGCGTCTGCGGCGCGGTGACACTGATGACCGGTTCGGCGCGGTGGGTCGGGCGACGCCGCCGGGCCGTCCGTTGTTGGCGTCGCCCGACAGTGCGGCCGCGCGCTCCGCCGGCCGGCGTCGGCCTCTCGCGGGGGTCGCGGCTGGGATCGCTCTGTTTACCGGCGGCGGCGCGCCCGTGCGTCCAGCGCCGGTCGGTGCCGCCGTCGGACGCACCTGTTCGCGTCAGGGTCGGCGGGTCGGCGCCGCCTGGCGCTCCGCGTGTGACGTCACTCCGCCGCCGCCGCCGCCGCGTGCGCTGCGAGCGCGCGGTGCCTAAGCGAGCTGCGAGTGGCGCGGCGCGGCGCGGCGCGCTTGAGCGTGAGCTGTGACCGATGTTCGTCCCGCGTGCCGGCAGGGGGATCGTGGTGCGTACGGCCGGCGACAGCCATATCTTCAAGCCCGTCTCCGTGCAGGCCATGTGGTGAGTCAACTCGTCTGCACCGCGCTGTGTGTACCCTTGGTTTCCGCTATCTCAGTTGTCTCCTTTCGTGCCCTTATCTGGTCGCGCCGATAAGATGAACGCATCGATTTGTTCGATGTATTGGTCGATTCCACAAGAAATCAGCGTGATATGACACCCCATCAAAACGTTTGTCACTGCAGTGACGTCCTGGCCCAGAGACGCATAACGCTGATTTGTGCAATGCGCCAGATTTCGTTACGATTCATGCAATGCGTTTTGCCTGTCGGCCGTCGTCCTTGGTGTGCTTGTGCCGTTCTCCCCGGCCATCACGACAGCGCTGCCGGTCTTTGCGCTCGCCGCGGTGGGGCTGGCACGCCTCCGACGTCCCTTATCGGTGGCGGAGGTGGCGTAGGCGTCTCGCGGGCGCCCGGTGTTGGCGTGGCCGCGACACCGGCGCGTGACCGGCCCGCGCCGGCTCCCGGGCCGAGCGCCTGAGGTGGACGGCCGCCGCCGCAGCCCGCTGGCACACGGACGGTGGCTGCTGGCGGCTGGCCGCGTGCCCCGCGTGCACTGACGAGCCGCCGCGTCCGGCCCGGAGGACGCCGGCCCGCTGTCCGCTGCCGTGGCGGCAGGACTGCGCCGGGCACAGCGCCGGGGTCTTTCCTCCCGGCGTGCTGAAGGGCAAGGCGGGTCGTTGACGGGTGCCGCAGCTGTCGACGCTGAAGGGCAGGCCGCGGCTGCCGGTGTTGACGATCGCCGCACCGGCCTGCCGGTTGCGTAAGCCGCGCGCGGCCGCGGCCGACCGCTGCTCGACCGCTGCCCTCCTTCCCCTCCCCCTCCCCCCTCCCCTCCCCCGCTGTCCGCTTGCAGACGGACGGGCGCCGGCGGCGGCGGCGGCGGCAGCGGCGGGCGGCGGCGGTAGCGGCGGCGGCGGCCAGGTTCTGCGAACGGATTAGTCCGCCGCGCCGTCGGCTACCGGGAGGGGGGAGGGGAGGCGGGCCAAGGCTGTCCGCCGTCTGGGACGCGGCTGGGTCGGGCCGCGGCCGCCGTGTGTGCGCTGTCGCCGCCGGCTATCGAGGATGTCTTGGCGGGACAATGGACGGACCTCCGCGCTGCGGCCAACTCGGCCGGGCGACCGGCGACCTTGGTGGCCCGGCCGCCGGCGGTTGGGCGCCGGCTGCGGAACTGACGGGTTTGGCCGTCGGAGGCGGACTGGCGGGCAACGTCGGACCGGCCAGCTCCAGCGGTGCGGCTGCGCGGTCGCCGCCGCGGCGAGGCCGACATGTGGAGGAGCGGCCGAGACGGCGCGCCGCTCCGGCCGGCAGGGCGGCGGCTCGGCATGGCGGCTGGCCGGTCTTGACTACAGCCTCGTCAGGACGTAGCCGTGCCGCGGGCTACAACAGTGTCGTTCGGAGATGCTGTTCGGGGGTGTGGCGCCGATAGCGTAGTGGCTAACACGCGTCTGCGTTAAACTCTGCGCGTCTGGGAAACCAGACGTACGGGGTTCAATTCCCGCGGTGTCCACTCTTCCTGCCAGGTTGAGGAGCAGGAGAGTCATATAGCCTCAGCACCTGAGCGCTTCGTAAAGCCCCATTGGCACACGCAGGGCTGTTGTCGGCCGGTCGGCAGTCTGGCCGCCGGCAGCAGTCTGGCCCATGGCAAACAGTGTCGTGGTGGCGACAGCCTGGCCCTGATGGCGGGCGGCAGCGCGGGAATCGCCAGAGGTCGGAGGAAGGACGAGCCGTTTTTGCGACGCGCCCGGTTGTGCGAACCGTGCGGAGTGTGTACGGTTTCGACAGACAGCGGCTGATGTATGGACGTGCTGCATCTCCCCTGTCGCGCCGGCACTGCTCTGTCGGTTCATATGATGGCGTTGACCTTGGGCTGGTGTTTGCCCCGGCGCGTATCCGTCCCCCGTCACCTGTGGGCTGTTTGGCGGAGCGCCGCCGCATCAGGTAACGATTCAGTGGCGGTGTAGTGTGGCGCCATTGACTCATCGCGTCCAAGATACCGCCGCGGCGTCAGACAAAGCGGTCGTTTGTCATGGAACCGGGAGCGATTGGATCCCAGGCTCAATTGAGCGAAACAACAGGAAATAGCCCGGGGGCTCGCCGCGGGACCAGAGGTTGGCCAGCTAGACACCGATCGGATCTTCCGAGCTGTCCGTGGATGCCGCCGTTTTGGGCAGTGCGACCTTGGCAGGCTCTAGCCGTACCCTGGCCGCGCTCGTCCCGGTGCTCGGGCGTTCCGTTGCGGCGCTTCACCGAGGCGCCACGCCGGCAGCGCTGGTAATTTAGTGGTGGCGATCCCGCCGCTGAGGGCCGTCGACCCGGCCAGCTGGGCCCGGGTCTGAGTCACGAGGGCGATGGCCAGAGGGGCGGCGCGCCGCTGTACGCCGTCAGCGGCTCCACAGACTACTGAACCCCGGCAACACTGCATGCTGGATATGGCTTGGCTCAAGCGTTTGTAATGTGTCCCGGAAGCGTCTACTCACATTAGCTGTGCGGTTTTTCTGAGGCTGTTTATGGTACTCTGTCGTTGACACCGTTTCGTGGTTTATTTGCGCTCGTTTCCCGTCGCCCTATTTGTCTGGCTGGGGCGGCTCAAAGCTAAACTGCGGGAACGAGAGCGGCTGTGTGTGTGTGTGCGTGTGGCCGGCCGACCGTCGTTTGGGTGCGTTGGTGAGGCCTGCCGGCCCTCGCCGCCCAGCTCGGCAAACGAGACCGGGTCACCGGCCGCCAGGGCAACATCCAGGCCCGACCAGGCCACTCCAGAGCCACTCGGCGGTGTCGAGTGGACCGGGCACGCCTGCGGTTGAATAAGATGCATGCTTATTTAATGGCACGTTCGCGATAGCGCCGATAAACGGTCGGTCAGCCGCCGCAGCATTCCGCCCGAGCGAGCTGCCGCGCATCGCTGCATTCGCTGTGCGAGCTTGGGCCGATAGTGCAGAGCCGGGCGAATCAGGCGGCTCAGCTGAAGTTCTGCCCGGCTGAGCGTGTCGGGCTCACATTATGCTTCCTTGTGATCGGAAGTTAAAAGCTTGTAGCGATCGGGGGCGAACGTCTCCCTCGAGCTGCGCTAACCCGGCGCTGTGCTCTCGGCTGCCGTATCGATCACAGGGATCGCTGTCGTCCCGCGCTGGGTGTACTCATAAGACAAGCGGGGATCGCCTACAGGTCGCGAATCGATCTTCATCGAGCCCGGCGGAGCGAGCGCTCCATCTGGCCCGCGCGCCGTACGTGGTCGACGGCCAGCTCCGACCGCGCGATTGGTTGGCATCGGGCAGTGCCCCCCCCCCTCCCCCTCCCCCATCCTCTCCAGAGCTTCGTCGAAGCTGTTCCCAGATGCGCGATGCCACCTCCGTGGACCAGGAGGGATCGGCCTCGCTGGCTGTCAGGGTGCCCGGCGAAGTCGGCCGTCGAATTCGTCGTCATGAACCAAACGCAACGCCCGTGTTCCTCGTTGCGAAACGGCGTCATTTCAGAGATAATGGCGAAGGTCCCTGGAAGCGTTTATGTTCGGCCGTGGCGGCTTGTTGGTCCGCTGGCGGCGCCTGGACATCGCCTGCGACGTTGGCGCCGGCCTGCCGCTTGTGCGCCGGCAAAGCGCTCCTTGTGTGGAGCTCACGTGTCTGCCGACTGTTTAGATTGGCGCCCTAGTTGATCCAGCGCTCATGGCTGGCCCGGGCCAGAAGGCCCCTCATTGTTCGCGGGGCATTTAGGATCAATCAACATGTAGCGGCGTGAGGTGAAGCCCATGGACGCGTGTTGGTCCACGGAGTCGCGGCAGCCGGGTCGGTTGGGGACGCCGAAGCGTGGGCGCTTGCCACTCCAACGGTCTTACGGACCGTATCTGTCCTCGCCTCCTGCTCGTGCGGCACGGGAGACGGGGCGGACGAGCTCGTGCGGCTGCGCTGGCCCTGATAGTCGCCATCCGCGAGCCGCCGCAGATCGGCCGACCGCGGGCGGAGACGCGCCCCGGTCCGCTGGCGCCGGCGCGGCTCTAGTGCGCCTCGGTTCAGCTCGAGCTTAGCGGTCTTCTGTGCTGATCGGCGCCGGTGGTTCTTGTAGTCGTAGTCTCTGTCGTCGGAAGCTGTGTTTGTCCTAATTCGGACCGCTTTTGGTGGCTTCACCGACCACGTGACATGTAGAGGGTGCTCTCAAGACGGCATCACCGGGGCTGTCACCGTTATCTTAAGTGATCCCCGTATTGACGCTCTCCTCCGCCCCGACAGTGCACGCCTGCTCCCTTCCGTCGGATCCCGGTCTGTGCCGTTACAAACGCAGCGCCGCCAGTTGGCCCCGTCCGTCTGACCCGGCCACCGCTGCCCGACAGGTCGGCGCTGCAGACGCGCAGCACCGCTGCCGCAGTGGTGCCGCGGCCGCTCAGCCGACCCGACTGGGTCAGCCCGACGAGCGGCTCGTCGCCTCCGACCAGTCGTGCCTCAATGAGTGGCACGCCATGGAGGACATCGAGTCGCGCCGGCCGCCTTCGCCCGAAGCCGCCGTAGCAGGTCAGTGAGCGCCGCGGCCGGTCTGGACCGGGCCGCCGGTCTGACCCGCCCGCCCCCCCCCCCCCCCCGCCGCCCCCCCCCCCCTGTCTGACTGCCCCTCTCCGTCAGTGCGACCAGGCATGTCTCTGTCGCCTTATCCGGGCGGAGAGCGTGCCCGGCCGTTTCTGTGCCGCCAGCGCCCGCTGTAGCAGAGCAGAGCGTCGTTTCGGCCTCGGCGATCGCCTCCACTCCGGGAGCTGATGGCCGCCCGCTCCCCGTGACCAGTAGCTGCAGCGGGTCATTGCACCCAATTCCCTGTTGTGGACGGCCGTTGTTGCAGATCGCTGTTTCTCATCCCCTCCCCCCCCCCCACCCCCCCAAGTGCCGGGTGATCCTCGTGCTCTTGCCCTCGCCGCGGGCATTGAGTGCCTTCCCAGGTCTGCCGACGACCTCAGCGGGCAACCAGCCCCTCGGCTGCCCCCCCTACTGTGGAGGGGGGTGGCCAGACCCCTCGGTTGAACACCCCTCTGCCGCGGCAGGATGATCACACACCTGTGTCGACTCCGGACGAGCAACGAAAGCCCACCGCGGGATTCGCTTGCGATGCACAGGCTCACTGTTGAAACGCGCGTGAATCATAGCGTTACGTAGTTTTCTGAACGCTCGGGTACTAGGCAACTTCCAGCGTGCTGGTCGGATGTTAAGAGCTTAAGCGTTTGGTTCAGGATCTTAATGTAACAGTCGAGAATGTGCTGTTAGCTGCAATGACGTGTTGTAGCACATGGTATTGCTTGCATATGTCGTCATTTGCAGTTTTTTCCGTTAATCCGGTGTAAAGAAGAGCGCAGAATCCCGTCCACACTCGAGGCTGGCGGGGTAGTTTTTGTGCCGCCCAGAGCCGTTGTGTGGTATGATGTGACACCGCGCCCCGTCCCCCCACTCTTGCTCCGTTACAATCGCATCCTTCCTCTCCACATCCTCCCCCTCACCCCCCATTTCTGCCCTAACTGTACCCCCTCCTGCTCGTCGGCTATCTTATCCCCGTTTGCAGCCCGCCTCCTTTCCTCCAGCCCGTGGGCCGGATCATCCCGTCTGCAGCCTGCCTCCTCTCCCCCAGCCCGTCCCCCACATCATCCCCGTCTGCAGCCCGCCTCCTCTCGCTCCGCCGTCCGCCTCGAGCCCCCGCCGTCCTGCCACATCTGACCGGGCCCGCGCGCGCGTGCCTCCAGGCCATCGGAGAAGGAGGAGACGCAGCGCGTGATCCGCGCCCGGCTCCGAGAGATCATGCTCAGCGTCGACCTGGATCAGGTCACCTCCAAGGAGCTGCGCACGCGCCTCGAGGACGAGATGGAGTGCAGCCTCAAGGAGTTCAAGGGCTTCATCGACGCCGAGATGCTAGTCATCATGGGCCAGATGGACCACGCGTCGCGCATCTTCGACCACCTCTACCTGGGCTCGGAGTGGAACGCCTCGGACATCGAGGAGCTCAAACGGAACGGGTACGTCGCGCCGGCGCGCGCCCCGTCTGTACATACGCGCCGCGGGCGCGAGTCGCCGCGCACGGGTGCACCTGTAGAATGGGCGGCGGCGGTGATCCGGCCGCACGACGCCGGCGCCGGCGCCCGCTGTTCACACACCCGCGTCGCGCTCACCACCCGCGCAGCGCGCCGGGCTCACGCAGCTGCCCGCCGCGCCCGCAGGATCGGCCACATCGTGAACGTGACGCGCGAGATCGACAACTTCTTCCCGGGCCGCTTCCAGTACCTGAACGTGCGTGTGTACGACGAGGAGGCCACAGAGCTGCTCAAGCACTGGGACAAGACGTTCAAGTTTATCGCCAAGGCCAAGTGAGTGGGTACTGCGACGAGAGTGGCGAGAGAGGGCGGCCGGCCACCGGAGCTCTGCAGATCCGCTGGACAGCTGGCTTCCTGGCTTGGAGGCCGGTTGTAAGATTGCGCGAAGTATTCGTAAGGTCATTTTTTTGCGAATGGTAATCGGCGTTTGCGTGATCTCGCGTGCAGACTGGGATGCAGTCCGAAGGTCACCTTTTTGCAGAGGCTGATCTGCCACATGAGTCACGCCGCGGTCGGCTGCCAGTATGTCCCCGCCTTCTGATGCTCTCCGGCCATCTGTCTGTGCCGATGAAAACAGAGTCATAAAATCGCCAGAACCCGGCGCTGCCTTCGCCGGATGCGGACAGCGATAGTGCGTGTGACGTCCGGTAGAGCATTGCAATAGCAGCGGAACCGAGTCTGGCAGCTCTGCTGCGAATCCTGTGTAAGATCACAGGATGTCGTCGCGCTTCACGGAAGCGTACGCTCGCAACGCTGGCTGCCCTCACTGACTGGGGCTCAGGGTCTGGCGTCCCCTACGTAGTGCGCATGTCTTCCAGGTGCGGCGTGGCATGTTTGGCAGGCGGTGGCGTCCGCCCAGCGGAGTCTCCTTTGTGTGCCGAACAAAACGCCGCCGGCCGTGGACAAACGCGCGCTGTTGCGGGCCGCCGATGTCTCTGACAAACACTCATGACGCCTACTCCTCGGCGAAGGAACGCCGGGAGAAGCGGCTGTTTATAGCGCTGTTCTCGCTGGGCCGTCTTCTCCGGCGGCGCGCGCGGCGCTCCGACCGGGCCGGCCCGGTGTCCGCCGGTGCCGCGCGGTCCGTCGTCTGATCGGGGCGGCCGTGTTCGCAGGAGCGAGGGCTCCCGGGTGCTGGTCCACTGCCGGATGGGCGTGAGCCGGTCGGCCGCCGTCGTCATGGCCTACGCCATGAAGGCGTACGGCTGGAGCTACGAGAAGGCCTTCAAATACGTGAAGCGGAGTCGCGGCTGTGTCAAACCCAACGCAAGCTTTCTTAGACAATTAGAAACCTATCAGGTATGTGGAAAGCTTGTTTATCCATAGCTTGTCGTAGAGATGTGTCGTCGTTGCCTTCGCACATTTTACTGATCTGCATGACTGCGGCTTGTCGACGGCGGGCATTTATCGAGTCAATGTATCTCGTTTCTGCAGGCAGTTCGCGCAATGCCGGCAAAAAGAGCCTGTCGCTTGGTTTCCCTTGAAGGCCCGCGGACATCTGTGCGTGCCCGCAACTGTGCATGCATAAATCAACAGCAACCCGTTAGTCGGCCGTCGGACGAATCACGCAAAGCGTGGTGGCGGATTTTGGGCCAAGGGCGCTTTGTCGCACGCCAAGCGGAGTCCAGATCCCTGGACGGGCCGCCGTGCCGGGGCGGGACGGCCAGCCGCGGGCCGGCCGGAGCGGCGCGTGACCCTCGCCGGCGCCCGGCAGGGAATCCTGGACGCCAGCCGGCAGCGACACAACTCGCTCTGGCGCTCCAAGTCGGAGACGAACCTGCAGAGCGGTCGGCTCTCGTCGCCGGTGTTGCCGCCTGGCGAGGAGACGGGCGACGCTACCGACATCAGCGCCGCCTGCCGGCCTGACTCGCCGGCGGCCGATGCCTCGTCGCGGCCAAAGTCCTGGTCGCCGGCCGACAACGTGGCTGATTGCGCTGCTCGCGCAGATGAACGGTACGGTGCGGGTGGCGTGGGAGGGCCGTCTCCGGAGGAGGCGTGTGTGGTGGTCCATTACTTGGGCTATGTGGGTTTGGGTTTTGCGTCACACTTGTCTGGCGTGTGAGTGCTTCTTGTCGTGTGACGTATTACGTGGTTTTGCGGTATTGTTAAAGGAAATCACGGCTCTCTTAGAAGAAGTCAGCTTGGTGAAGGATAATTTCAGAACGAATCTATAAATGGCATACATGCAGTGAGGACGTGTTTCATCCTACATCGTCCGTACGGTGTCTGTTGTCCGGCGACGTCCCGGGACACCAGCCGGGCGTGTGTAGGACTTGACCGCTGTGCTGGTAATGTGGCCTGACCTCAGGCTTTCCCAGTGTGACCCCGCTGGCGGCGGCCCGCCCTGACGGGCGCCCCTCTCCGGCAGGCACCACGCCGGGCCACTACGGCCGGCCGACGCGCTCCCGCAGCCGCTCGCAGACGCTGCCGGGCGACACCGCCGCGCGCGCGCGTCACCTCCGTCAACCTGCGCGTGCAGTGTAACGGCCAGGACTACAGCGTGTCGCAGAACCAGGCCATGAACCTGTCGCTGCCGCTGGAGCCGCTCGAGGGCGCGCTGCGGCCCGACCCGCAGCCGGCGCCCGTGTTCGAGTGCGTCAACCCTCGCCCTGGTGCCGACCGAGACCTGGGTCGGCCAGGTGGTGGAGCTGCGCTCGCGCGACGCGCCGCCGTCCGGCCGGCGCGCTGCCGCCGCCGCCACCGCCACCGCCCACCGAGCCGGCCCGCCGGCCTGGTGCGTCGCCATGGCCGAGGACTTTGAGCGTCGCTCGTCGTCGAGCGACGGCGCGCGCCGGCTCGTGCGGCTCAGTGGAGCTGGCGCCGCCCTCGCGCCAGAGCTCGTGGAGGCTCGCTGGAGGGAGCGCTGCTGCGCGCCGCCGGCGTTGCAGTCGCCGAGCCGCAGCAGCTCCTGGGGCTCGTACGACGCGGCACATACGGCCGTCGCCGACATCGACGCGGCGGCGACGGGGCTGGCGTTCCCGCGCGTCGATGCCGCCGTCACCGCCGTCAGACCGCCGGGTGGCGCGGCACGGCCGCCGCTGCGCCGCTGCCGCCGCCGCCGCCGCCGGGCGACACTAGCCCCGGGGCGCCGCCGCCGGCCGTGTCGCGCATGAGCGTACAGCTCCGGCAGCCGGCGGCGCCGCGACTCGGCTCGCACGCCGTCTCGCTGGTAAACCTGTCGGCCGGCGGCAGTCCGTGCCGGCCGGCCGTGTCGTCCGTCTCGCTGACGGACGAGCTGCCGGCCGGCGAGGCCGAGCCGCGCCTCGCCACGCCCGGCCAGGTACGCCGACTCGCGCAGCAGCTGGAGGCGCGCGAGGCGGCGCCGGCCTCGCCCGGCTCGCCGGGACCGCGCCCCGCGGCGCCGCCGCCGCTGCCGGTCGTGCGCAGCGTCAGCCTGGACAAGCTGTATGGCCGGGAGGTGCCGCCTCGACACGCCCAGCCCGACAGATGAGGTCAGCGTGGCGCAGGCTCGTCGGCCGCTTCGAGGGGCCCGAGTCGGCCGAGCCGCGCCGCACTTCGGCGCCGCCCGACGCGCCCGACTCGGCGGCAGCGGCGCCGGCCGGCTCGCCGGCCGTGCCAGCGCGCAAGTCCAGCCTTGACCTCTCGCGGCTGGCGTCGTTCACGCGCCGCAACTTTGGCCAGGTGTTCGGCCGCAGCCGCACTGCTAGCCATACGCCCGGCCCGGTGGTGCGCACGGCCGCAGAGGCCGCCGCCGCTGCCGCTTGCCGCATGCGCGACCCGGCCCGCAGCGCAACGCGCCTGCACGGCAAGACGCACCCGCTCGCCAAGCTGGACGTGCGGACGCGGCACGTCAGCTCGGTGTTCAACACCTATGTGAGCGCGCGGCGGCGTGCGCATTCAGGACCGTGGAACAAGGAGCGTGGTGCATCAGTCATGTGCCAGTACAACGTCTCTCGTAGTGATGTCTTTCTCCTCTTGGCGTCTCGCTCCTGCCGTGTCAGTTGCGTTTTGTTTGATTTGTTTTATGGTGGGTCATTCCGCGTGTGCTGGATTGCATTTCGTCGCGTGCGCGATATTCGCGATGCGGGAGGCGACGTGGATCGCTTCCGTTACGGACCGTTTGAATGTTTTAAAAAGTTTTAAAAGAATGCTAATGAGTCACGTGTATGATGGGCTCTTATGTTGAACGACCTGCGAAGGGCCCGCGTGAGATGTAGTATACTCAAGGATGGTAAATAAAACGTGATCCGTGCATTCGCTGTGTGATCGATCCATATGATGCGTGCTCGCCCCGCAGAAATATGAAGCAACGGTTGTAAAGAGGAGAGGACTATGATGTCAATGGAAAAGAGGAGACAGGGCCACGTTGTCGATGGAAAGAGGAAGCGGGGCTACGATGTCGATGGAAAAAGGAGGCAGAGGTACGACGTCGATGGAGAGAGGGGGTAGGGCTCTGATGTCGATGGAAAGAGGAGACAGGGCTATGGAAAAGGGAGGCAAGGCTATGATGTCAATGGAAAGAGGAGACGGGGTTACGATACCCATGGAAAGAAGAGGCAAGGCTATGATGTCGATGGAAAGAGGAGGCAGGGCTAAGATGTCGATGGAAAAGGGAGACAGGGCTTCCATGTCTATGCCTGGGAATCCCCGAGCCCACTGAGTGTACCAGCACCTGTCAGACCCTGCGACTCAGTCGGAAAGCGGAGTAATGCTTTGTATGAACACTGGCGCGGCTGGTAACCGAGTGTGGAGGGCTGGGGTGATTATCATCCGAGCAGTAAGTTGCGTCCATCACCACTGGCCGATTTAGGCGGAAGTTTGCGGTGCAACGTCTTCCTCCCGCGACGAGAACGAAGAAGCATATTGTGATAAAATATGCTGACGCAACCGCTCGGCGTAATCACAAAGTAACGCACTGCAATGTTTCAAGTACTTGAAAGAAATGATATAATCGCCACGCATCGGTGTCAGCCAATGGGCCTTCCGTTCTTTGAGTCTTTAGTAGGAAGCATCGCCTGACGCTGATTTAAGGTCAGCCAACATTTATTCAACCGATTCCAGCGACAGGATGTGAATCAGACCTGACTCAGACGCACACGATTATGACGCGCCGACAGTGCTTCAGGCGGTAGTCAACTGCAACCAATGTACACCCACCGAACGCGTCTTCAGACATCTCGATCACATCACAAGATCGTACATCACTCTCCTTATGTCCGAACTGAATCTACTGGGCCTGGCCGGAACGATCCCACCTCCTTTGACAGTCAAAATGGCAACCGGCGCGCGGCCGTCATACGGCGACAAATCTTTTCGTGCGCCAAACTCTGAAAGACGGCGTATTTGAATCCACTGACACGACCGATCTGTATCACTTTGCAAGGACGATAGGACGATTTCCACTGGCGTAGGTTGGGTGTCACCATGAGGTACTGGTGACGCCCGTGCTTGTGCCGCTCGCTGCGGGCAGCCCCCAGGCGTCTCCTCTATATCGGCCCGCGGCGCCGGCGTCCCCGGCCACCACACCATCAGTGTGGCGACCACCGGCATCCCAGGCCGTCACCACCAGAGAAAAGCTGTGCTGATGGAACGCTTTATCGCAAGACGGATCACGTGGCGGACTGCGGATCGTCCGTCCATACATCACAGGCGCCCACCCGCAGGCCACACAGCGCACCCCGCCGATCTCCAGACTGACATCATCACACCAGGAGACGCACTCCACCGATCTCCAGACTAGCAGCATCACACCGCGCGACGCACTCCGCCGATCTCCAGACTGACAGCATCACACCACGCGACCGCACCCAGCCGACCTCCCAGACTAACAGCAATCACACCACGCGACGCCACCCCGCCGATCTCCCAGACTGACCGCATCACACCACGCGATGCACCCCGCCGATCTCCAGACTGACCGACATCACACCACGCGATGCATCCCGCCGATCTCCAGACCGACAGCATCACACCACGCGACGCATCCCGCCGATCTCCAGACTAACAGCATCACACCACGCGACGCACCCCGCTGATCTCCAGACTAACAGCATCACACCACGCGACGCACCCCGCCGATCTCCAGACTAACAGCATCACACCACGCGACGCACCCCGCCGATCTCCAGACTCACAGCATCACACCACGCGATGCCACCCCGCCGATCTCCAGACTGACAGCATCACACCACGCGACGCATCCCGCCGATCTCCAGACTAACAGCATCACACCACGCGACGCACCCCGCCGATCTCCAGACAAACAGCATCACATCACGCGACGCACCCCGCCGATCTCCAGACTAACAGCATCACATCACGCGACGCACCCGCTGATCTCCAGACTAACAGCGTCACATCACGCGACGCACCCCGCCGATCTCCAGACTAACAGCATCACACCACGCGACGCACCCCGCTGATCTCCAGACTGACAGCATCACACCACGCGACGCATCCCGCCGATCTCCAGACTGACCGCATCACACCACGCGATGCATCCCGCCGATCTCCAGACCGACAGCATCACACCACGCGACGCATCTCCCGCCGATCTCCAGACTAACAGCATCACACCACGCGACGCACCCCGCCGATCTCCAGACTAACAGCATCACACCACGCGACGCCACCCCGCCGATCTCTAGACTAACAGCATCACACCACGCGACGCACCCCCGCCGATCTCCAGACTAACAGCATCCACACCACGCGATGCCACCCCGCCGATCTCCAGACTGACAGGCCATCACACCACGCGAACGCATCCCGCCGATCTCCAGACTAAACAGCATTCACACCAACGCGACGCACCCCGCCGATCTCCAGACTAAACAGCATCACATCCACGCGACGCACCCCGCCGATCTCCCGACTAACCAGCATCACATCACGCGACGCACCCCCGCTGATCTCCAGACTAACAGCATACATCACGCGACGCACCCCGCTGATCTCCAGACTAACAGCATCACATCACGCGACGCACCCCGCGATCTCCAGACTAACAGCATCACATCACGCGACCGCCACCCCGCTGATCTCCAGACTAACAGCATCACATCACGCGACGCACCCCGCTGATCTCCAGACTAACAGCATCACATCACGCGACGCACCCCGCCGATCTCCAGACTAACAGCATCACATCACGCGGACGCACCCCGCCGATCTCCAGACTAACAGCATCACACCACCGCGACCGCCACCCCGCTGATCTCCAGACTGACAGCATCCACACCAACGCGACGCATCCCGCCGATCTCCAGGACTAACAGCATCACACCCACGCGACGCACCCCGCCGATCTCCAGACTAGCAGCATCACGTAGTCTGCAGCGCCAGCGCGGTCGTTTAGCTGCACCTGTGTAAGCAGAACGCCTCAGGAAACAGGCCCTCCAAACGCGGGCGGAATCTTGCAGGAAGAACATACATCTGAGCAGAGATGAATTCGACCACGTTGTCACGCATTTGGACAGTTACGGGCACTTGGCCCACGATCGGGCCACCGCCCACGCTTACACCTGAAGCGTTTTAGAGAGATCAAACCGCAACGCGTAATTTCAATACTCAGTGTAAGTAAAACAGACCAAGACGTCACAACATGAAACACTGCGCAACAAGCAGCACCTAAAAGTCATCCGGACAGATAGAAAAACAGCACATAAAAGCACCCGGAGAGTAGAAAAAACACAAACTTCTCTGGACATATGTATGGTGTGCACATATGTCAACGCCAAAATAATATGGTAGACTTCCTGGAGTAAAAAGTAAGCGTGTGGAGCGGCCGTGGTAGAATACATAGCATTATAACATCCTGATTACGGCAACCCCACCCCCCTTCCCAGGCATCGGACGTCACGCGGGCCAACCACTCAAAAGACGTGCTGCCGCTGCCCTTCTCCCCCCCCCCCCCCCCCCACGCCGCTCAGACATGAAAGCCCCCCCCCCCCCTCCCCGGCTGCCATTCCGATGTGGCGACGTCCCGCACCCACGTCCGCCGCCGCCACTGCCCACTACGGCTGTCCGGGCTGCTTGGCGAACCGCTGGGCCAGGTGGCTGGCGACCGGTTGGTGCCGGTTGGAGGACGCGGCCCGCGCCCAATCACGGCACGCGCAGCTAAGCGTCGGGCGGCGGCGGCCGGCGACTGACCGGGTGCGCGCGGCCCGCACCCGCCAGCGGCCCGACTGCGGCCCGGTCAGCGCGCCGGCTGCTCCCAGCGCCGGGGTACTCGACCTCGGAGAGCGCGCCCCAGCGCCTGGGAACTCGTGCTCCGAGAGCGGCGGCGGCGGCGGCTGCGCGCCCGCCTGGCCGTGCGCGGCCGGCGGGCGCGGCCGCGAGCTTGGCGCCGCGGCGGCGGCCGTCGGTGCCGGCCACTCGTCGCCGTCGTCGCAGGCAGCGGCACGCGAGCTGACCGACACCCAGCCAGAGGTGGCTGGGGTGGAGCGCTGCACCCAGCGTGGTCCGGCACACACGGGCGTCTCGCGGTCGCGCCCCGGAACCGCGACGGTCCAGCCGACAGCAGCTTTGTACTCGGTCGGCAGGTCGGGCTCCTTCTCGCGGCTGGGCTTGAAGGCGATGGGCCGGGCGGCAGCGCCTGGTCGCCATCGGGCGCGTACACGGCCACGCCTTGCGTCGTTTCTTCGACTGCGGCACATGTCGCCCGGGCACCAGCTCGACGCCGAAATGGCCGACCACGCGGTCCAGCACGGTGAAGGCTTGGCGGCGCGCCATCGCTAGCATGCAGAACTTAGAGTTGTCGATGTCCTGGTGGAACGGACAGGCGAGGTCGGTGAGATAGTCAAAGTGTCCCTGCTTCAGAAGGTCGCCGCACGAGGTCTCCAGCTGCGGCTCGCCAGCCGCAGTGGAACAGCTCGTACAGCAGCCGCTCCAGCGGGTACACGCGGAACGGACTGGTCCCGGCGGTCGGCCGAGCGGTCGTGCAGCCACTGGAGCGCGCCCTCCGTCTCGGCCAGCTCCAGCGAGCCGCTGAACACGGGCGGGTAGTCGTCCAGCTCCTCCTGCGGGTTGATGAAGTTCTTGAGCCGGATCCAGACGCCGGGGAAGTTGGTCTCGGCGCCCGGGTGGCCGAGCGGCACCTGGTGCGTGGCCTCGGAGATGTCGCGGCAGCGCGACTTGTACCCGGCCGGGATGCGGTCCGGCTCGATCAGATACGAGCACGAGCGGAGCACCCCGTCGGCGATTGTCCACTCACAGAGCGCCACCTCGCACGGCAAGTACTCGGCCCCCTTGCCGAAGTCCGTGTAGCAGTGCAGCGAGACAAACAGGTTGTAGAACTTGACGCTGGTGAGCGGCTCGCCGCCGCTGCGGTCGTGGACCATGCTGGTCACGTGACGCAGCATGTTGTCCTTCTTCAGTCGGAGCTCGTCGCGCTCAGCCGCGATCTGGGACAGCGGCACTCCGCGGTCGTCGAACTTGCGCGTCAGGTCCATCTTGGCCTGCTCCTTTTCGATCTTCGCCATGTTCTTGTACTTCTGGCGCTCCAAATCCGAGAGGTTATTAAAATGTGGAAATAAATAGTCGACCAACTCCTTCTTTGAATTAAACTGTAACCCTCTTCGTCGGAGGATGGGCTCCTGCTCGCGCATGTACATTGAAAACGGATTTATCTGTGGTTTGTTCTTTTTGGTTGGCATCTTCGTCCTTGTTTCGGTTCACAACCGATACTATTCCACCGGAATGAGTCAGCTGCCTGGGAATGAGGTAAAATAAAGCATATAGCGAACAATAACACTATGACTACCGACAACAAAGTGGTTGCGTATTTCATGACACGTATCGCGACAATGCCTTGGAAATTATCGCCCGCGACACATTTTACCGGAGCTTTTTACAACGAATGGAACATCTGACCCCAACCATTCAGACGAGCTAGGCCTACAAGCAGCACAGCGACGACGTACATGTTTAATTTGAACGTTCATTTTGGCTGGTCACCATGACTGGGAACATCATGGTCACCATCATGGGAAACATATTGCAGGCCTTGTCATGCAATGCGGCACTCCAGGCCCAGCCCATACGAAAGCCGAAAGGCACCGTAGGCCAAATATTCATTCACCACGAACATCAGGACATTGATGGCGTTAGTGGGCCACGAAGTGGAGTTCACTAAAAAAAAAGCTACCAGTTACTTGGAGACGAGTACAAATGTCTGCCCTTTACAGATCAGGCAAGCACGACGTTAAAGATCCAGGCGGACACCAAGCGCAGCGCGGGAAGGCCGGCTGCAAATTAGTTCAGCGGGACGAGACCACGGCACGAGTCCGGGCCAGCGCCCCATCACATACCAGGGGTGTAGCCGGCCGCCGTCAGCGCGCGCCGCCGAGTGTGCCCCTGGCCAAAATTACCTCGCTCCGGCACAAGGCCGGCGGGTCACGTGACCGGCCGGCCGCCGGCAGAGCGCGGCGGGCGGCGTCCAGCCCCACCAGCCCGGCGCCCCTCCCCCCCCCCCTACTTCCCGCAGGCATTTCCGCTTTCTTTCGATGTTCCTCGCGCAGGGTGACGCACGCACGCAAGCATTATATACACACATCAAAATATACGTGCATATATATATATATATATATATATATATATATATATATATATATATATATATATATACATATAGACACACACACACACACACATATATATATATATATATATATATATATATATATATATATATATATATATATATAGACACACACATACATATATATGGGGCGGAGAGGAAGCAGATTGTTCTTTAAATGGCTGGTTAAAAATCACAACGGTCTCAGCATTGATGATCATTTTGTCTATTTTCTCGGTCAATCTGATGCTTCCGTCAGTTTCTTCTCGATGTTCGTTTAAAACGGCACCAGAGATTATGATGCAAAGAAGATATAGATTGTCATATTGCATGGCCCGGCATTATCACATATTTCTCAACGTTTCATTCTCCGTTGGACATTTTCTTGACTGAGTTTTAAACAGAGTTGATGTCATAGATATGAAATACGATTAGATCGCCATTACCCATGTTAAATTACTCGCGGACGTGCGCAATGCAAAGAGGGACATCAGCTGTGAAATGGCAAACACTCGCAGACCAATCGGACAAACTCAGGTAAAATGGGCGAGTTGCGGACCACTCCAACATCAAAGCTCAAACCAATAATCATACGCGCACATATCCAAAACAAACAGACGGTTTCACTAAGCCGGCCTGGCAGCCATGGTGCGGCCACGTGACCTCAAACTGACCCCTGTCTAAAGACGGACGTCACCAGTCGGCCTCTAACACGCGCTCAAGTGGGTGTCAAATTGATCGGCTCTCCGCCGAGGGTTTTTCCGGAATGGTTTCCGAACGGCGCGGAGAAGCCGCGCCAAATTTTGCAGAGCTCTAGACAATTGAAAATCGGTCGTTTGTTATGAAAAATTAGCTGTACCTTGTAAGGTCACTGACCTATGGCAGATCAAAGACAGGTCATGCATTCAGCACAATCAATTTCTAGAGAAGTGTTCAATTTGATGCAACGACGGAGTGTTCCGACAAAGCCATACATCTCTGAGATAATTTCACAGGAAACACAGTAATTGAATGAACAGATGCCATTGACCCAGGGTCAGGTATAGGCCAAAATCCGGGGCGGACCGGACCGGACCGGGGCCAAAATCGGCCTGTTTTATTACTCTAGGGCTTGCTGTGTGAGGCAGTTTCTGGTGCTCATTTTTAATTCATTGATGACAGGAACCGCATTATGCATCTTCTATGGACATCTCAAAGGGCAGGATAGGTCACTGATCTAAAATGGTCCATGTCAACATTTGTTTTTAATATATTGCTTAGCGTAATCTTTGCCGGTTATTCAAATGCAAAACCCAAAGCAGTCTTGTATGATTCTGGTCAGTATGACCTTCAAAAGGTCGAACAAGGTCACCGACCTAAAACGAGCATGTTAACTTTTGCTGTAGAGGAGATATCTAGGTTCCGGGGAGACTGGGTAAACCTGAAGTTTGACCCCGTTTGACCTAATCTGACTCGACGATCACGACCTAGGAGCCTCAAGCTTTGGCCTAAGTGAGTTCACGTTTAGGCAAACACACCCTGTGAATTTGGTGTCTCTAGCTCTCTTAGTTCCTGAGACCTCAGGGGTTTAATTGATCCCCCCCCCCCCCCCCGAGCGAAGGGTATCCGACCGGTCACCCGGGCGCGTGCCAACCCCGTTTCAACGCTTCAAGAATGGGATGAAATGTCTACACGGCTTTTTACGCACATGCGCTCATGGCGTGCGTCCCGCCCCACCGCTTCAGATGTCGTCTGCATGGCGAGCTCCACTCCTCGCTCTACGGCCTGCGAGCGCTGGGCGCTAGGTAGTGTATGACCCGCAGTCCGCAGCTCCGCGACGCCCTCTGATGCAGAGAGTGGCGGCGGCTCGGTCCCTGCCAGCTCTTCTAACCAATCGATAAGATCGGTGCAGCTGGCGGCGTCAAGGTTTCTATCCGGCAACTGGTCCGGCAGCATCTCGTCACATCACTGATTTCGGAAAACGAGCAATTCTGGTACGACGTGGCGCGGGCTTCCTGACGGATCTCCTTAACAAGGTCAGCAAACATGGCCAGTGGCCTGACTTCCGGCGGGCCCAGCAGCCATTCCGGTGCAGAACTAGTCGGGCCGTGCGTCGGACCGATGGAACCAGGTCTCTGAGTGACGGCGCCGCCGGTGACACTCAACCCCACGCCAGGTCTCTGTGTGACAGCGCCGCCAGTGACACTCAACCCCACACCAGGTCTCTGAGTGACGGCGCTGCCGGTGACACTCAACCCCACGCCAGGTTTCTGAGTGACGGCGCTGCCGGTGACGCTCAACCCCACGCCAGGTCTCTGAGTGACGCGCGCCGGTGACACTCAACCCCACGCCAGGTCTCTGAGTGACGGCGCTGCCGGTGACACTCAACCCCATGCCAGGTCTCTGAGTGACGGCGCTGCCGGTGACACTCAACCCCACGCCAGGTCTCTGAGTGACGGCGCTGCCGGTGACACTCAACCCCACGCCAGGTCTCTGAGTGACGGCGCTGCCGGTGACACTCAACCCCACACCAAGTCCTTGAGTGACGGCGCCGCCGGTGACACTCAACCCCACACCAGATCTCTGAGTGACGGCGCCGCCGGTGACACTCAACCCCACACCAAGTCCTTGAGTGACGGCGCCGCCGATGACACTCCACCCCACACCAGGCCTCTGAGTGACAGCGCGTGCCGGTGACACTCAACCCCCACACCAAGTCCTTGAGTGACGCGCCGCCAGTGACACTCAACCCCACGCCAGATCTCTGAGTGACGGCGCCGCCAGTGACACTTAACCCCACACCAGGTCTCTGAGCGACGGCGCCGCCAGTGACACTCAACCCCACGCCAGATGTCTGAGTGACGGCGCCGCCGGTGACACTCAACCCCACGCCATGTCTCTGAGTGACGGCGCCGCCGGTGACACTCAACCCCACGCCAGGTCTCTGAGTGACGGCGCCGCCGGTGACACTCAACCCCACGCCAGGTCTCTGAGCGAAGGCGCCGCCAGTGACACTCAACCCCATGCCAGGTCTCTGAGTGACGGCGCCGCCTGTGACACTCAACTCCACGCCAGGTCTCTGAGTGACGGCGCCGCCTGTGACACTCAACCCCACGCCAGGTCTCTGAGTGACGGCGCCGCCGGTGACACTCAACCCCACGCCAGGTCTCTGAGCGATGGCGCCACCAGTGACACTCAACCCCATGCCAGGTCTCTGAGTGACAGCGCCGCCGGTGACACTCACACCAGTGACACTCAAACACAACAGGCTAAACACAATTTTCAGCACTTCCCTCTCTACTCAGGGGGCAGCAGCATCACTTTGTACATCCACTCTTTATTGTTCATGCAATGTTTGGTGCAAATACACAAAATAAAAAACAACCTGAAGTCTTCCTGACAGCATGCATGCCATGAGTGATGTTGGTTGATGGGACAGATCAAGCTGATACTGTTTGATTTGTGGAGTACAGTCCTCTTTGATCAATTGTGCATGAAGTCAACCTGCTGGTGCTTTGTCACAGCATGTATACAGTCAATCTACAGGCCCCAGCTGCTGAAAAACAGCCTTAGGTCTTCAGTTACCCTCTCATCATTCACAAAATGACACTGGGGGCAGGCATAATACACATGAAGGAATCTGTTCCCTTCCCCAATGTTAGGAAGAAAGCAGCAGTACAAGATCACATGAAAATGCTACTTTCATACAATAATCAACAACTTTTTTGCATTCCATTGAGGATTCAACCACAGATCACATGAAAATGTTACTTTCACACAATAATCAACAACTTATTGCAGGTTCCATTGAAGACTAAAGCTAAGGTGGCGCAAAAAACTAGCAATAGTTACACCAGAATTTGCCCTAAAAATCACAAAGCTCATGTGTTTTAATGATATGGCACATCTGTGCTGTAAATTTGTTATGTTGCAGCTTTTCCCAGACGTCAGACTTCATATGAGCTGGACTTAGAATTAACTGCATAATCAACACAATTTGTTCAGGCCATGTGAAATTAGTTTGGCAAAACCACTGCATCCGGGTTGGACCCGAGCAAAGTGAATGGTCAATGGGCCAGCCCAAATTAAGATATAATGGTAACAGCTAACAAGAAACATTAGCATGAGTATTCATGGGTACCACACCAGCATCTGAATTTTGGTTTTGGCTGTTGGGGGAGAGAACAAAAATATTAAAATCACAGCTTGTAGTGAGAACAAAATAACCCAAGTAAATTTGTGCTGTTGTGCATCTGTTGCACCATTCCGCAGAGCACATAACGCTAACTTTATGATTGAAATGTCATGCAAGCTACACCATAAATTGGAGCATCTGGGGCATGGTATTTAGCACAGCTACATTCTAGCTGAGGTACAATCTTTCTCACCTGGAGGAAAGATTTTGGGGCAATATGACACCTGCCCAGGCTTTAACTGACCTAGATGTACTTAATTTGGGAACAAGTGTGCAGTTCTCAATTTAGTTTGATAGGATGCTAGCCCCTCTCAAACTTTGAGAACAAAAACTTGGTCAAGATCAGGGAGAACATGGTTTGCATCATTTTGGGGGATAAAAGAATTTACTAATTTTTTTACTTTTGTACCCGTACGGCCG